TGTCAAACGCGATTCAACAGTATCCATAACTCAAAATTTCCTCTATAACTATTTTTAGGAAATGGGGTGTGGGATAGACTTACCTCCTCGCGGTGCACCCTGGGCAACGTATAATCATACGGCAAAAAATCTATTAACCGGCAGTTGACTTCTCACTTCAAACAACCATCACCCCCACTGTATGTCATATTCGACCCCTACCACAGTACTCATCGTACCCTTTCTGAGCCTTTGTGTTTGTCTGTTTTTTACATCTGTGAATCACTCTTCTATTCCCCCTCCTTTGATGTACCTCCTCCCCTCTGTGAAGCCTGAAGTCAACTAAAGGGCTAATGGTAACTATCAAAACGCCTGCAATTTGTTATAAATGAATTTTAGGAAATATTTTGGTTGCCAACTCTTAATTATAACATCTTTAATGTAATGAAGACTATTCTGAATGGTTATTAATTTAGAAGATTAAAAAACTTAAATGCGCGAAATTATTTCTGATAGAATTTTAGAAAAAATGTACCACGATAGTTTATATATTTTAATTTTAATAATAATGAGAAAGATAATGTTAATAATGATTTAATTTAAGGCCCTGTGTATGTTAGATGTCTGCTTCTCACTTTAATTTTTTACAGAGCCTATAGAAATGAGTGTGACTGGTTAGTTAGGTAATATTATCTATATTCCTTTAGAGTGCCTTGGCGACGTTAATGATAGACTCGAGACCATCCGTAATCAGCGTTTGGAAACAATAAAAAATATTCAAGTAATATTAAAGCTATTGTAATTTTCCTTAGCGACTAAAGTCTGAATATGAGCAGGTTACTCGACTTCTCGAAGAGGCCGGAGTTTCTCCAGAAGGGTTTGTGTTAAATTAATTAATCACCTCATATTCTAGCGAACTGGATGCTAGGCGCAATTTGGGAAAACGCAAATTTTCCTCTAATCCAAAAATGGTATATTTATTTTTCTCTAACCATGTAAAATTTTTAGGGTTTGGAGTTTTTATTCGAAAACCAAATCATTGAGCGAAATCCCGTCTCCGTTGCAAGGTTCTTCGTTGACGAAAAGAAGAACCTTTCGAAAGCTGCTATTGGTACATACTTAGGAGAAATGTAAGTTCGAAGGCGACTTCTGTCTGTGTCATGTATAGCATAACTCTTTAAAATTTTATATTTTATCCAGATCAAAGGAATTTAATATGCAGGTTCTAGACGAATATTTGAAGCTACATAACTTTGGTGGACAGGATTTTCTTCCGGCGCTTAGGTACCTTGTAATTGCTGAGGATTTTTGTGTGCTACATTTTCAGTATTGTAGTCCAATTTCGTTTAATTTTAGAACCTTTCTTTTTAACTTCCAACTCCCTGGTGAAAGTCAAAAAATTGATAAAATTCTTCAGTCCTTTGCTCACGAATATGTTGAACAGAATCCTAGCGCCTTCCACACATCTCGTAAGTTGCTTAATTTATTGTAAATTGATTTTAAATTATTTCTTTAATGCTTCTGTTTTTATTACAGAGGAAGCCTATGTGCTGGCTTATGCGGCGATTCTTCTTAACACAACTCTCCACAATACCAACGCCAAAAGCCAGAACTTCCGACTTGCAGATGAGAAAACTTTTGTTGAAACTATGTTGGATTATGATAAGGACACTCACCTTTCAGAAGAAATTATCAGAGTAAGTCTTATTACACGTAAATGTTTTTAATTTATATTTTTTGCATTATTAGTCTCGTTCTTTTTAATCTCAAAACTGTTTCTACAGTTCTATTGTTTTGAATATGTTATTTTCATAGAAATCAACGAATTCAAACACATATCTTGGAATTAGTACCGCCTAGTTCTGTTGAGCGATCTAAGCATTGTTGTTATCAATCTGCATTTTCTATTTTAAAACACACAGCAGTGTATCGATAGATTTCCATGTTTACTTTGTTTGTCTTAGATGAAATAGGAACTTTATTTGTTAATTTTATCCGAAAGTAGTAGTAGTTTGCGACTTCCACCATTTATGCATTTTTTTGCCTATCTATCTTGATAAATGGCCTGAAGGAGCTGTAATTCTAATTATATATCAGTGTAATCGATTTAGGTCTCTAATTTTACCAAAAGCTGCCACATTTAATTCAGATATTTTTCTATCACCCATTTTGAATTCAGGAAAAGTACTTCGGCCCCGGTTTGATCGGCATTAACTTGTCTAAGTGACCATGCACTTGTTCAATTAACAAAAATTTTGTGTCAACACATTGTGACAATTAAGGAACCAGATCTAGATAGTAGAAGCATAGATTTTAGCCAGTAGCTAACTTTAGTAAACAATGGTTTCAAAAGTTAGAAAACAAAATTTTGTGTTGGCCAAAGTGTATTGAATGAACTGCAACGAGAGTTTGACGAAGAAATGAATGCGAGTGAAGGGGTAGGAAATGGACGAGTTGAAGAATGACAAGTGTGTATCATAATGGGAATTCAAAGATAGTCGGCGTTTACACGAGGGTATGAGTGTACTTTGATTGTAATGTGATAATGATATAAACGAAGTGAATCGATAAGCTCAATATAAGTTTAAGTAGAAGGGGCATAAATGCGTAAAGTTAACCATTTTCATAAAGTGTGTAACTGGTGGGTAATTTTCCTCGTCCGATAATATCATTCCTCCTACTCCTTTGACATGTCACTTCTTACTCTGTGGATGGACAGCAGACGTCTGCAACGAGTTTCAGCTGTGAACTTCTAGCATTTACACGATTAACTTTTAAATTCTCTCTTTTTTATTTCCACTATCTGGGGTTTTCAGAATTTGAGCACTAATTCCTTTTTTGCTTTTTGTATCCTTAAGCAGAATGCTCGAATCACTTATTTCAAGTGATAGATGAGCTCTAGAAGTTGATGAAGTTGATTGTTTCCTGAGTTTTTGCCATTGTGTATTTGATATACACATAAAAAGGCATTGTAACTGTTATACCACCTGCAGCTAATCCGATGCCGTAAAGTGCATGTTCTATTTTTAATATTTTATAATCCAGTTTAAATAGGTAAAAATTCAAGTTCCTATCCATTGGAAAATGGTCCGGTCTTCAAATGTAAAAAATTGAATACTTTCTGCCTATGGTGGTTTTCAAGAAAGTGGCTTTCCAGTTTTAGATTTCTGAGTTAACCAAAGCTGCCATTCATTCAGTTCTTTTTATTGTGGTCGTATAAGGCACAGTATCTTCCTGGGTTCTCACTTAAATTGTTCTATGATTACGGATTGCACTTAATAGGTACAGGGTGTTTCTCACCGTTTGTCTTTTCTCAATTATCTTAAAGACTTTAGGCTATGTGTTATTGCTTAAAAATGGTTTGTTTTCCTTTCTGCTTTGTGTACCATTGATGTAACGGTAGTGTGTACGTATATCTCAAGTTAAAGTGGCGACATTCGTGTCACACCTTACCTTATCCGCACTTCATACTAGTAGCCTTTTGATGTCCCATTCTAAGAGCTATATTTGGTCCAATCTTTTGAATTGGCATTCCCCTTTTGTTGGTACATCCATTATGAGATTCTCTTTTAGTCTGTATTTTGCGGACCCCATTCTTATACCAGGAATGAATATTCAGTATCTTCCAACTTTGCCATATTTGGAATTAATGAATAAGCCATTTTGGAATGGGCATTTAGCTGCCCAAGGCCACTTAAGTTGCCAATTGGAAATGCAGAAAATGTATCGCGTTAGTTTATGCCGATAACTTTCTTAACCTAACTGACTAAATTTTGGAGTTCTGTTTGTGCAGTACGCACCCATAAATCAGTTGTGACTTACCGAGCAGTTATCCACTATGTTAATTATACGTCTTTTTCATCTTTTTTTCCTAAAGCAGAAAGTGGCCCACCTTATGCACACTAGTGGCAAAACTCGAGCCGTGTAATTTTATAGCTTCTGTTGCTACTGTTTCTACGTCTTTGAATTGTGAGCATGACTCTTCGTTTTATATCAATCAATCAAAAGATTGCAGAAGCATGAGTATGGAGAGGAGAAATGGCGCGTTAAAACAGGAGGTATAAAGATGAAGAATGGGTATATGTAATTCAGTTGCAGAGTTAGAAACATTGGAATCAGATCATGGTTATATTCGGATAGCATTAAGAGTTAGGTTACCGTGAATCGCGTAATATGTTACATCCGAAATGCTCTAATTAGGGCATTCTAGTGTAGTAAACTAACGAATTTTTACAAATTTCTCAGCGTTTTCTTGAATTGGAAGTAGACACCAATCACTGGACGATCTAACCTATCCTTACTTTCACAATGGTCATATAAACTCAGGAGTTTCCATTATATTTGGTTTCTGAAGTAATCGATTTTCCCCTTGTCCAGTTAGTCAATAAATGCGCTTGTCGTCAAATTCAAATTTTAACTTGAGTTTATTTGTTTTCCATTTTATATCCACTTGAGCAAATCTAGACAAAATGCTACAACACCAGCTACTTCTCAATTCAGTGCCCATTTCCTACTGTTTTTACCCATTCTCTACCATTTTATTTTCTCCTTTTAGAGTGTCTACCATGGCATCAAATCCAAGCCCATCCAGTTAGCGGAGGAATGCACAGAAGCCAGCAACATGCGCGGTTGGCTTTGGAAGTTAGGTAAGTTAAAAAAGAGAAACTTTTATTTCTTTGCGATCTTTTTTCCGTGATGTTCTCTTGATGCAAAAACAAACCACTGTGCAGTTTCTTGCATCGAGTTTTTAAAGCTAAGTTCACGACATACACCACCTATGCATATTTGCCGAGTTCCCTTTTCACGATAGGTGTATCTCTTTTGATATTACTTAGTACAATTTCCGGATTCTCACTGGCGTCTCTTACGAATTTACCAATATTTTACCAGTTTTTTAATTAAAACAGTTTCTGGATTCTACTTTCCATGATTGGGCCTAAAAAACTGGGCGGAAACTTTTGTCCTTGCCTTTTTGAGGACCTGGATGGCAATCATGTGAGCTCCCTCATTTGGCTATGCCTCTGTCATTCTCATATGAGACTCTTCACTTTCCCTGGATTCTTTTGGGGCCTGGACGAAATTCCCATTCATGGTAGATGGGGGGTGGGGGGTGGGTAGGGAGGTAGCAGGAATATTATGGTCCGAGGGCAGGCATTTTGGAGTCTCTCTGATGAGGAATTTTCACTATCGTTGGTGATTATTTTGACTGTCCTTAAGTGGTTATTCAATTTCGCATTCATTGAATTACTTTGTGTGTTTAACTAATTTCCAGAAACCAATTGAAGAAAGGGTTTTTACCACGCATCTTGGGAAGAAAGGCAGTATTCTGAATCGACTTTAATGGGAAACTCGCTTTCTGATGTTCGCTTTGTTGACTAGTATCTATCTCCATTCTCTTTCCTACATTCCTTGGGTGGATTAAACAAATTCACAAACTCACTCATTATTGGTAGCAGGTGTTTAATTTTCTTTATGGGAAATTTACCCTCTGCTACACCCCTCTTTCAATTTATCTGAACCACGCTAGTTTTTTGTCAATTCTCCTGAGATTGCTACCTATTTTCCCTTCATCCTGGTTTCGCCTTTCCCCAAGTATGCTCTCAACTTTATTTCTATTCTACGCGCACTCGTGCGTAAGGCTATTCCATGCCCTACTCTTCTTCCCTCTTGATTGCTGCCACCATCTCCTCTTCTCTCTTAACTTCACTTCGGTGGCCTCTTATTAAAAACTTCACATGAAAAAAAAGGTATTTTTGGGAGCACTTTGTCCTCAGTAGTACTTGTTCTTTTGTCCGTTTTTTAAACCTATTTAAGTGTGCTTTACATATTTAATTGGTGACGATTTTTTATTATTATTTTTTCACCGACCGATAAATTTCACTTGTCAGATTGGATTTAAAAAAGCTTTTCTCCTATCTGCACTATTTCTCTGTTATTTAAATTGTTCAAAAGTGAACTTTCTTTTCTCTTAATATTTTTTTCATACAATGCAAAGATTGTGTTTATATTCACAAGAAGGCGTTTGAACATATGAAACGGTAATGTAGTCTAAATATGTTTTATTTTTCAAATGGTAGGCTTTAGTTAACTTTGGGTTTCACAGTTGGGAGGAACAGACAAAGTCACAAAAGTGGAGAGGGGGACAGAAGAGTGATTCACTGATGTAAGAGAGACAGACATAGAGGTAGAGAAAAGGGTAAGGTGAGTACTGTGAAACCAATCAAATATGACATACAGTGGGGTCACAGTGGTTTAAAGTCAGAAGTCAACTGCCGGTTGATAGATATTTTTTTGTCGTATGAGTGTACGCTACCAAGGGTGCGCCACGTTGAGGTAAGTCTATCTTACACCCCTGTCTAAATATGTAGTGGGAAGTGAAATTATCAATTGAGAAATTCATTTGTAGCTTCCTTGAACAGTTATTTAACTATTCCACGCTCAATTCTCAAAGTACTCTGTTGTTTAACTTGCGAAAAAGAATGCGTATAATTTATGGCAGTTCAAACGGGCAAATTACGTAGTTTCTCTCTGTGCGCTTTTTTTTCTATTAAACCTATTTTGTTTGCACTTTCTTGTGAAAATTCATACATTGAGCTTAGCACTTTTAGCCAACTTGGAATTTGTCAATCTCTTCTGAATTGGGAAATCAAGATATAATAAGGTGCACTGAAAAATCGGCCTGTTGCGTATACTCCATTGAGACACACTCGAGCGGCGAAAGCTATACAGCCAATCGTAAATTCTTGATGGGCAAACCTTCTTCCTTATACCTATAGGGTTCGTTAGTAACCATCTAGCAATACCGTCGCAGCTGCCTATATTCCACTGTTAGTTGCTTGTCTTCATTAAAACTTAATTAGAAGATTTGTTAACGGCCTCAGTTATTTACAGAGAAGGTTTTCTGAAATCGCTTTTACGAGGCTCCCAGAATTAGCCTGGGTGTTTGCTCACTAGGATAGCTGAGAGTGAATCAACGGAATATTTTCCTTTTTAGACGCGCACATTGCTCACTGCGGCACTAGCATATATCACCTTGTTTGACTGTTGTTTTATTTTAATGCAAATAAGGCCATATTGGCGAGTGTTTTCGCCTTGTTCCTGTAATAAAATCGCAAGAAGCATTCTGTTTATTGTTTGCTATTAGCTTCGGGAAGTGTACATACCTTCGTGTCCTAGATGTTTGTTTGTAAGTTTTGTATCTGAATATTTTTTTTCTTTTAGCTTCAAGTTAAAGCATTATTTGATTAACCACCGCAATTTAACAATATAGAGTCTTAACTAAAGTGATTTAAGTTAAATGATTTACCTTCTACTGCATAATGCATCAATGCTTATCGATGTATAATGTGGCCGTAGTTTTCCATGCTTAATGAGTGAGCAGAAGGCTTAACTGACAGCTGGTTTGCTATTGCGTATTACCTTGGAAATTTGAAATTGATTGGTTGCTCGCTTTTCCTAGTATGGCAGCAGGGACATGATTGCATTCTCAGGTAGTAATGCACCAGAGCAATAAACGGAAATTCAAATCCTCTTACATACCGGAAATTTTGGATCAAGCCTAACTATATCAGTGATATTCTTGTTTGATTTAACAAATGTTGTGGGTGTGTTTGGTCTGATTTACAAGCTCTTTTAGCACTAAATATTGTCGGTGCCTAAACTGTTGTGGAGAACTCCGGTAGCTAAATGTTAGGCTTGTTATCAAATGTGTATGATGTCAATTCGTACTGGGCTATTATGTTTGGTTTGCTTGTTCATGTTAATGACGGTATTTCCTAAACACACAAGGGAAGTGTTTCCCATCATTTCCTGTTGTAAGAAAGAGACCATGATGATTAGAACTTATTCGAGCAATCCCAATACAGTTATCGACGTACTGAAAAGGGGGTTCAGTCACCATTGATATGCTTTCAATCCGATAGGTGTTAATTCGCGCCATTTATAATAGGGTTTGAGTACTACCCACCATGGTCCCATTACTGAAAAGCTTGCGTAATTTTTCATTGGCTTTACTGGCAATGTTAGTTTAGTGATGATCATTGAATTCCGTCTTTTTATGCACTTCAACATTCGGGTCTTCTAAAAAGAGGTCAAAGGCGTCGAACGTAAATATTTGTACTTTCTCTCGGGTCTTCGTATTTAATAGCAATTACTAGGCCATTTTGGTTTCTTCAAGTTCGCTGCCTATATTGGTTAACCAAGAGAGTTCAAAGATATTTTGCAAATTGAATTCAAAAGTGGAGGATCTAATTGAGATTTAGTTTCCTAAGTTTTTGAATGTTTGGTTTGAGTTTTCGTTAATTGTTATTTGCCTCGTTATACTTAGCCTATCCGTTAGGTAAATTTGGGGGGGGGGGTTGTTGAGCCCATTGTGTGGTACATTTAAGGTGTTCTTATGAAGAACTCCTTATACAGCTCCTTTTGTTGACCAACAATTAATCACTTCAGTTGGTTGTTCGCTTTTTACTGAATAGTTCTCGAAATCGCTGATTCGTCAGCTTGCAAATTTACCAGTACATCTAACTTTTCAACCATCAAAATGGATATTAACAACATTGGAATTGCAGTAGTCATTATTTGTCGTATTTACACTGTGTTAGTGTCCATTTACCTATATTTTTATTTTATGCATTCATCGGTTTGAATGACTAATTTTTCCAAGTGTTTTTGCTACATTGCATTCGTTTTCTGTGCCCTTTTATCTATCGCTTTCGCTCTGAATACACACCTCTCTCATATTTCATGAGCTTCAATTAAAGTACAATTTGAGGATACTATTAAATGCGCCCTTTCGTCAACATGTCATTTTGTCAAGTGTGGCGACTGCGCCTTTTATTCCGTTAGTTCGACCTTTAGGAGCCGAAAGTTTCTTTTTTCAAACTACTAAATTGAGATTTCTATTCATTCATTATGTAATTGAGTTATAAGTGCTTGTAATAGCTGAAATGTTCTGTTTTGGTAGTAATTTTCCTTGTTTACTTTTCAATTTCTCCCCTTGAAAAAAAATTGAAAAAATGTGAAATTTAACTTTGAAAGTAAAGACCTTCAATTTCTATTGGTGTCGTTGCCCTAGTGATCTTCTAGTTTTGAATCTTTGGGTTGGAGGTTGAAGGCTGGAAAACGGAAAGTTGCATTAGATATTTATTTTCATGAACAAGGATTTTCGTTCATTTCTATTAAATGATTTGAAATTTTTTCAAGGGTGGAGGGGGGTGGGGAGCATTCAAGTTTACTTGTTTTAGTAGTGGCATTGTGTTCCATGTGGTCATAACTTTGGCGATGCTGTGGACTAGTTGTCACTTCCCCCCCCCCTCCCCCTCCCCCTCTTCTAAATATCACAACATTTATTTTGTTGCGTGTACACCATATAAACATATTATGAACAAGGTTCACCAGATGACCATCTGGTTATTGGCTGTTTGAAATGCAACAATTTCACTGTGCCGAGGTAGGGTTAGTTCCACTAATTCTCCATGTTTATCGTCTGGACGATTCTGTTCTCTTCTATTTGTGTAGTCTTAAATGGTGAAATGGTTTGAGACAAAAGGCTAAATTGTCCATTTCCTCTATTTAAAGATTTTAGATTTCAAGGTAAAATATCTCACGCTTCCAATTCAATATATCTAATAGTCGAGCATGCCATTAACCCATAGTGAATATGCTTTTATCGAAGGCATTTTAACACTGACACCTATTGTTTATAGTGTGAGTTTCCTATAATTTCTCTTTTGTTTGGGAAATAAACATCTATGCTGTATACATTTGAATGAAAGGCTTAGTTTATTCTGACACTATCGATTATAATTTCTACTTCACGTAAAGGCCTATTTTGTTCCATGATTAGCTTCCTTACACATGCACTTATATGCAGATGCACTTCAATCCCCTACTTCCTGCCATTTTGACGTGTGTGGTACACATATTTTTCTGATGTCCTGTCTGACAGCTTCGATTGGGTTGGATTTATTTTATCAGGCATTGGAATGCTGAGTTGCATAAAGTCAAATCCCTGTTTACGCCATCTTAAATTTCGCGTTGAACCAATTTTCTGTTTGGTACGTAATTATTGTTTGACCTTTCAGGGAAATGTGAAAATTTCTGCACCCATTTTGTATTTTTCATTACGCTTATAATTGTGCACGATTTCGGTCGATTAAGTAAGATAGTCGTTTTCTATATATTCTCGTGGCTATTATAAACGTCTTTATTCTACAAATGCTTCGTTTTTGAAGCCCATTAAATGACTTAGGCAATTTGTGAATCATCCAGCTTGTAATCTAAACTGAGTAAAATGCTTTCTAAATTTATTCTACCGATAGCTTTCTGATTTATGATGGCTTCTACTTCTAAAATCTGGCATTATTTGTGTGTTTGTAAGTGGATCAACCGTTTCGAGGTCGAATTTAGCTATTTCTTATTCTTCTTCTTCTTTGGACTGCTTCATATATCGAGTGTGAAAAATACCCCCCCCCCCTCCCCCCAACACTTCTATTTTCATATGTTGGCAAATTTTGGCACTAGCGGAGGTTTTTGCTAGATGACTAACTCCTGTAATGGTGTATTTTTCCGCCTATTAATCTGCAAGAAAGGATCCGCTGCGCAGCCGAGTAAGTGTGAATTCAATTGGAATGCCCTGCGCCCCTGTTGGTTTTATCTCGTGTTTCTGGGACAGAAGTGGCCAAAGCTTGTGTCCTTTTATGAGGGTACACAGGCGTTATATTCTTGGATAAAAAATTGTCCTTTAGGAGGCTATTACAGGGTAGGACAATAAATATTTAGATTTGGAAAATTGTAACTGAAGAAATCTTTCCTTTATATCTTCCCTTAGACTCCTCTTTTTTTGGAATTATGCACTTTCATCTCTGTTGAAATATCAGAACCTTCATCATCCTACTTTGACCAATATCTGTATCTTTGTATAACCGGACTATGTGTGGTCGCCTTTAATAGTTATGATAATCAAATTTCTCTCAATAGGGTCCAGTCAAAATTCCCTTATAATTTTGCAACAAGGTGGATTATAACTTCTCTACACTGAAGTCTGCTTTCTTAAACAGTTTTCTACCTTTTTACCTTCCGCCTTTTCTATTTCTCTTAGTTCTCTTAGTTTTTGCCATGAATAATACTTGGACCTTAAAGCATTCCAAATAGTCGTAAGCAACTTACGGAGGACTTTGTATTAAGCAAAACAAAACCTTTGATCTTTGTCTATTTGATAGGATATAGGAGTAAGTGAAACAGTAAGCGAATTAAATTTTCTGATGGTGAAATTCCGCGTTTTGATTCCCAAATTCACGGATACGATCGCGATATTCAGATTCTGGTTCATGTAATGTCGGGATTGACAATGTCGCCTAAATTAGTCTTCATCCTGTTACAGACAAAGAAGGCAGTTGTGACTACCAATGACTTTTAAGCTGTGGACAGGATTCACTTGAATAACTTTATGAGGAAATGAGTTTTCTTTGTTTTTGTACAGTTTTTAACCTTCGAACAAACATCTTTTCTCATCTATCTCAGGTCTTCTACATTTAATCGTTCTCTTGAACGTTAATTCTCCTTCAATTTCTTTGAAGACATCATCCTGTTGTTCTAATTATATACTCTCCATGTTTTTTTCTTTCGGTCTTTTATTTTTAGTGTAATCTACTGTTTCTAACTTAATTAATTTGCATTTTATAGGCGGACGTGTAAAGACCTGGAAACGCCGATGGTTCGTACTGACTGACGAATTCCTTTTCTACTACAATGCTCCTGATGTAAGTCGCTTGTTCTTACTTTTAACATAATGTTCATATGTTCTGTCTTTACTTTACTTGCTGTCCTTCAAACCTTTTTATCTTTACAAGAATTATGTGTGTTGGAAAGCGCTTAATCATCGCTTAATTTCTAGTATTTCTGTTTTTTTGCTTTACTTCATGTGGGTATTTAAGACAATCCAACTGGTTTCTGCCGACTTCCAATAATCTTCCTTCACGAAAGTTTACGCAAATCTGTTTTGGGCCTGTCATTATTTCGTCTTGTTTTTTTTCTGTGCAGTTTAACTCGCTGTTTGTCTGTTTCTTATTCACAATTTAAAAGTTCGAATGTTGAGCCTTTGCTTAGCCTAGTGAAACTTGTGGTCTCACTGGATCCCCTTGTATCTAATTTGTCAATGGCATTTAACTGAGTCACGTTTGTCTTTTTCATCCAACTCAATGCGCTTGATGTCTGTCATCTAATGGAGACGCGCCTTGATTGTAGAAGGAAATCTACCATCCTTGAGTAAATCCGTTATCTTAAGCCAGCTAATGTATATATTCAAAGCGATTATTTCAGACTCGTGTCACTCCACTTTATTAGTGGTACTTGTTGAATTATTTTGGTTTTGCCTGCCTCCACTTCCGCCTATTTTCTCACTAATCCTTATTGATAGTTTCTGCTTTTTACACTTTACGTGACGCACTTCTCATTTTACTTTCCTTACTCCTCCTCCCTTCCCTCTTGATTGGTCTCGTTTTGTTCGCTTCCATCTCCAACTAGTGATTCAGTCATGCTCTAATTTGGGGACCTTAGTAACGACTCCAAAACTTATTTCGTAGTTTTTCTATTGTGATCTTGAGTGGAACCCCTTGTGAGCACTTTGAGTTTGTTCCAACTTTATTTGCCAAAAGTAACCAGATGTTCACAAATGGGCGTCATAGTCCGATCTCTTAATTCAAATAGCATAATGTTACAGCGTCGAGTACCTTAGTTGTTGATTCTTACTCAATGGGAAGGAGTGGGGGGGGGGGGGGGGGGGAGGGAGGGAGGTGAATGGCATTTGCAGGTATAAGTGCTCCCCTCAACCTCCGGTTTTTTTTTAATTTAGTGAAGAGTCTTTCTAAAGGATATTAAAACAAAACTGAAAGTAATAGATTAGGCACTCATTACGATATTACAATATAGGGTCAATATATGGTGATAAGGTTGGATAGTGAGCTGTGTTATTTATTACTAAGTCAAGTGTAAGAATTTGTTGAACAGCAGCCTTGTGGCCCACGTTATTTTCAGGTTTTATCTCCCTAAACCCTCGATTCACAGAGTGGTTGAGATTAAATTATTGATGCTCTATGTGAGGGCACATGAGGAGAATTCTAGCTTTCGTCCGCGGTTTATTAAAAACATATCGGAAATACATTATGGACCCGATTGATTTTCGACCTTTTTGTGCCTGTACGAGTATTTGCTTGCATACTATTTCTCCCTCATTTTTTTACTCGAAATGTCACCTTCTAAACCTCATAGTTTGTTAATAATTTGCAGCATTCTTAGCTATTTGGCTCCCTACATGATATTGCTTTTCGGTTACTCCTTAGAAGTCTTTGCCTTCAAGATCAAAGTACTTACACGTCTCCCTTTTCCCTGCCCCAACAGTATGCTTTTTACTTGTTGCTTAGTTGTCTGTTGGACCAAATTTCCCTCTATCCCCATGGTGTTGTGAACATTTGTGAAACTGAAAAAGTCGCTGAACTTCCCTCGGGCGCGCAGACCAAGAGAAAGAATGGTTTGTTGGCTGGTGGAAAAGGCCAAACATCTGAACACTTCACTTGCACTTAATCTTATTTCCAATCCTGCTCTTTTAAGCCCTCCAAGGGACTAAATTTTGATAAATTAAAAAGAGGTGTATTGCTGATGTGACTGGTAAATAATTTTAAACATTAGAAATTGGCGTTAACGGGAATTCATTTTGACGTAAGTATTAGTAATGCTCTACTTCAAGTTAGAAGCATTTGTGAAAGTTACCTGGCGCTCCTGCAATAAGAATCCACGTTCCATTATTGATAATTAAATTTCAGCAAATGCAAATTAACTAGAAGATTCTCACGTCACCTGAAGTTGAGTTTTCCTGTCGTTGGTTTTTTTTCAACTGTGATTTTGATGAAGTTTGAGCCGACAATGTCTCATTTTCAATAATTACAGCAAGACCCAAATATTCTAGAACCCAAACTCCAGAATCTCTTTTATTGGACTTCCACTTTCATATTTTTAGTGCCAATTGACCAGTAGTTTGGAGTTGAGATATGAATTGAACAGAATTGTCCAAGTTTTTAGGGAGTCACAAAAAACCCACTTGCTAACCCCACTGCCGCCTCTTGGCGCGTGTTTGTGGGGGGTGGGTGGGGGATGAAGCCACAAAGCTCTCCCTTCAGCTTCTTTTGTCACTCTGTTTCCCACCGCTAATGTCTTTTTTCATGTCACTAAGAGGCTTGGCTTTCGTGGGAATACTATCCATATTTCGACTAAAACAAATACAAAAAGGTATGCTGGGTTTGCTTTGTATTTGTGCTTGTAAGCTCCAGGAGTGGATGTTGTGTATTACTGGGAAATAATGTTGGCAGTATATATTTGCAATTTTGGAAATTTAAACATCTAATTTTTTTGGAAATTTTTAGCACAAAACCACTTTCAATTTGTGGTAACTGATTCGTGAATGAGCGATATATTGTTAAATGTGAATTAAATCAAGCGTTGCAGTTTAACCCTTTAACGCCCGATTTATATTTTTTTTCAAAATTGCACCAAACTGCACTCACGCGTTCCTCATAGCGAACTGATGCCGCCGACGTGATGAGTTTTGGTGGCGTATCAGGCGAAGGCCATAGACGTATTGAACAAGTTTCAAACGTCAATAATCCCTTCTCTTATGGGTCTAGCACCAATGGAGCTTATTTTGGAGGTGGGTCGTAGGGTCTTAAGAGTATTAAGGGGTTTTAAGAGTGAGGGATTCAGTCCAATATTTCATGGATTGTCAGTGAATTATACCCTTACAATGCTATTTTCAATTTACTTTCAACTCGGATCTTCATGACTCTTAAATTTTCTAGAGAATTGTTGTAGCTAGATCTTTTGTTCTTAGTGGGCTTGAGCCAAATGCTTATTTCGATCTCATGGAAAATCAACTGTTGTCTATTTCTTCAAGTTGCCTATCGATTGGTCTCATTTGTTTAGCCTCCCCCCTCATGCCTGAAACTGCTTATATATTTTGCATTCCTCCAACTACGACCCACTCCCCTCTCCTCCTGCTAATATTTTCCACCCCCTTAGTCTTCTCAATTTCTTCATAAAAGTATTTTGTGCATGTCAAGGGCCAATCTTTTTTTTGTTATTACTGTCGAATAATTTGATTTTCTCCCAATTTGGTCCCAATTTTTCTCTTTTGATAATCTATTTTTCTTTGCGTCCAGCGGATTACTCAGCGAAAGGGTATTGTTGCCCTAGAAAATGTATGCGTTCGCCGTGTCACCAACGATCGCTCTCGCGAGTTCTGCTTTGAACTCTACCCTCGTTTTTCCCTCACTAACGGGACTGCTAATGCCAACGGAGTCAACGGTTCAGCTGGAGGTAATGGCGGTATTGGGGGGACAATCAATACTCGCAAGGCTGACAGGGAAGGCATCATCTCCACCGGTTAGCTTTTAGCTATTTATTTCTCTCTCTTTTTTTGAATACCTATTCAGAATATAAACGAATAGCGTGTGCCGCCACCTTAATGGTTAATTTAGAAGTTCTTCTTTATTGAAATGACTGAACAACTTGTTTGTTAAATTAAGTATCGTACTAAATCATTTATTTTCCTATACAGTGCCCTTGTTCCCGTTAATACAAATATTGGCGTGCTCTACAATTTATAGCACTAGAGGTTTGTGTGAGATTTTCTTCCTGTCATCCATTCATTGTCTGCTTCTTCACTCGGGCCATCATTTCATCTTTCCACTTAAATCAAAAATAGGTATTCTTGCTGCTTCTTTTGTCTAGATTACCACACAACTTACCGAATGGCGGCAGCGAATTCAGAGGAGTACGAAAAATGGATGACCTCACTACAGTTGATTACCAACCGTTTTGGAATGGCAACTGGTCCTACCACCTTAAATGGAAATTGTAGCCACCGACGCGGTTCAGTTGAACGAGGGGCCTCTGTGCCCTGTTTACCAGCATCTGCATCTGCCATGATACCCAATGTTGCCTCACAACCCACCACGCTCTCTGCCGCAGGCAATACTACTGAAGACGACAACAATTAGACTACTCAGCTGTCATTCTCCTTCAGTTTTCCATTTTACTGTTTGTCTCCCATCACTGTGCACCCTCCCGTATCTCTATGTGTACATAAACAACAATAATAGCAATTAATAACTCCTTTACAAGCTATGTATGCCCATCTATTTAAGCTGCAATAAAGATTAAAATCACACTACTGTGTCTTTGTACAAGGCTTTTGTGTGGTATGCTTGATTGTTTGTTTCTTTTCTACTGCTTAGAGTGACCTCTAATATCTCGCTTAACTCATACTCTGAAGAATCCTACTCGCAGTAGTCATTTTTCATCTGATTAATTTGGATTTTGTAGTTGAGGCCCCTTTTTATTCCTCTTTGGATTGGCATCAAGTGCAGAATGTGCCCCTTTGCGTCAGTTGAGTTTGAACTCATGCCATTTCGAGTCTAAGTATTGAAATATCGTTGGATTCTACGATTTTATGGCTAACTTTGATAGGAAATTACTTTAGAGGCAACCCCATATCTTTTTGGCTTGAAGGTTTCCGGTTTAGAATGCTATCCGTTAACTTATTCACCAACATCAAACAAGGAATTTTAAGTGTCCCATCACGCAGCTACTTTTTCCACCAAACACTGCCTCAATTTACTGATGCACGTTTTTTGGTCTCGGCCGCCCTACTGCCCTTCGGCCGTATCTCATTAAGATGTCAGCTTTGCACTTCTGCTTTACGCATCTTTGTGGGCGAGTGATGTGCATTCCTTCAACCTTTCGGCAGTCTGTCCAATTGATAAGGCCTTTTTATTGTCCTACATTTAGGAAATAGAGAGTATAGCCAGGGCACTACCTTTTGTTTTTTGAGTCTACTGAAACTATGACTAAGAGACTCTTTTGAGAAGTTAGCCCTCTCTGTGTCTTACTTAAAACACGTTTTTAGCTGGTAATTTACCTGACTGGGGTAATGAATTATAGACATTACTTTGAAAAGTGGTTTAGGTTCTTTTTATCTGTATAAGTAGTATATTTTAAACTTAATATTTTGTCTTGGAAAATCTCCAAATTTTTCCTACTTGTGCCTATCGAGCTTGAGTCAAAAGTAATTTGGATTAAACTGCAGTAATTGCCTAATTATATTGTGGTCTCGGGAAGGCTTATAAATACTATCATTCTTGTCATCGCTAAATGTTCAATTTCTTAATTAATTCTCTATTTCACTAAAAGAAGTGTCTTGCTTCGTTGGACTTTGTACACTGCCTCTGGTTCACTGTGTTGTTTTACCAATGTCTTGATAAGATTTTGGCACACACAATCAGTGTTATTCGTTATTCTGATTTCGGACTAAATCTTTCTAGAGTTATCTCAATTGGCGTTATGATCGTCCGTTTGAGAGGAATTGGGTGGCAAAAGAAATCGATATATAGAATTTTTATGCCGTATAAGTTATATAATATTTGCTCCTATTTTGGAGTCTAGTTGCCCTTCTCCTCCTTCGCAATAAGTACGTCATGCCTGCTATGCTCGACCACATAAAAGTTACAATTCACACTTATTGTTTATACATTTGTTTACGTAATACGCGAAGGTTGTGTCCGATTCCATTATCGTCTTCTTTTCCTTTCAATGATTCTGCCTAGCCACTAATTGGACCAAATCGGGTTATTGGTGAATGGTAATTGCACCTCTCTATGTGCGGGGTTTCTGGAAGCATTCGTTTGTTAACAAAGGCTAATATGTGGCATTTACTGCCACATATTAGGCAGAAGAGGGTTGAAGACTTCAGTCCATGTAATTCGAGATTTTCTCATCTTGATTTTTCGATCAGATTCGAGGGGATGTGTTGTTATTCCGACTTTAAAGTCATTTATCAGCTTTATTCAGTAATCCTTTATTATCCTTCTCCTCATCTTTGTATGTCGGATATGCAGTCTACATTTCGATGAGCGATTATTCTACTACCCGTTCTTCTATGCTACCTGAAGCATCCCGAAATTGGACTTTTGAAGTCATCAGATTTTGTTTTAATGATCTATTCTGCACTGCAGGAAAAATGATTTCTGTTAAATCATACTACCTCTCAACAGAAGGCTAATTCCCAGACCTGGTAGGGAAAGTTAAAGTCATTTTGCTATTTTCGTGAATTCCTTTTTTTGGCTGTAACTACTTATTACGTTGATGAAAGCCCCACTTCTCTCATCACCAATGTTTTAATTCACTTGCTTTACTAACGATTTTCATATCGGTACAATTAACTTTTCATTCGTCGTCTTACTTCCCTGTATTCATTTTCTTTTCACTATTGAATAGTTCTTCACCGTTCCTTCTTTCGCATTCAACGGAACGTCTATTGTTATTGGTGTTCTGGCGTCTGGTACGGTCTTTGTGTATAGAAATTCAGTCTTGGTCATCATATTATGGTATGCTATTCGTCATCTCACTGGCTTTATTTTTCTATATCCGGCGGTGAAAAACTAGCCTCAAATTGGCCTTATCACTCCCCTCTCTTCCCCCCCCCCTCGCCCCATAACTGGTATCTTCTGACATCTTGTGCATTTTTAAAAAAAGTAGTCATGAGTCACTTAGAAGGAGTGACAGTTTAGGCGATATCTCTGCAGGTGACTATGTTTCTATCGTCTGATATCCCTCCATTTCCTTTAAATTGCGCACAACGAATAGGGTGACATAATATTTTTGAGTCATATCTACCTTTAATTAATCCTATTCCTTGTGTCGTTCGCACACCTGAGTGCAGTATTGATTTTGCATATTTTTGCACTTCCTGGATGCATTGCTGTTGAGTGCAATTGCTCTTCCTTCTATCGCTTTCTAATTACTTGAAATCAACTTGCGTTCCTATTATGAGAGCGAGTGAGAGTGTCTTCTTTTGTTGTGGACTATTGTAGCCAATCGCTTGTTTTGATATAGCTACACTAATTTCATATCAATTAGGTTATCTGGAACATTACTTTGCTTTTTTCAAATATATTTCTTTTCATATCACATTGATTACTGTGTGATTAACTTGGTCGGTCAATTTCAACTGCCTTGCTATATTGGATGCATAGCTGTGTTAGAAACCTATCTTTCCTCGGTTTACTCTCTCAAAATTATTTATTTATTTATATCAAATGGCAGGCGTTTTGATGGTTATCATTAGCCCTTTAGTTGACTTCGGGCTTCACAGAGGGGAGGAGGAACATCCAAGTGAAAGAAAGTCGATAGGAGGTGGGGAGGGAACAGAAGAGTGTTTCAAAGACGAAGGTAGAAAAGTAGAAAAGAGGTGAGGTGGGTACTGTGGAATTAGTCGAATATGAAATGCAGTAG